TGTCATAATTTTAACAGTATAAAATAGTGGGTTTTTTATATAATATATCTATCTCTCTAATATATATATATAAATAGATAGATCCTGATGAGAGAGGACTGAAACATTGATCCTAGACCTTATGTCTTAATTCTTGTTGAATAAAGATTAACTGAATTATATATATAATACACAAGATCCAGCGCACTCACCTATCCACTAAACAGCAACTTCAATGTTGAAAGATTTTATTTGTTTTTTTTAAAAACACCTAATCTAGGCAAAAATAATGGGGGTTTAGTTACATTATATGATCATACATTGCATAAGCCTGCCACAACGTCAATGTACCCCATCTTTGGCAGGTCCTACACTAACAGCCTAATGTCTGCTCTTATGAGATTAACCTACTTGGGGAAAAAAATTCCATCTGGGGCTCTCTGCAGTACAAGGCTAAATAGGGCCCTGGGATGAGGCACCTGTGACAGGGAGGGGTGCAAAACCAAGGAGTTGGCTAGACTCCCAAATATATATAAAACAAGAGGGGGTTGGCTGCACTCACCTTAACATGCATAAATGGGGGTGCTGCTGGGGGCCAAATAATACAATACACAAGATCCAGCGCACTCACCTATCCACTAAACAGCAACTTCAATGTTGAAAGATTTTATTAGTTTTTTTTAAAAACACCTAATCTAGGCAAAAATAATGGGGGTTTAGTTACATTATATGATCATACATTGCATAAGCCTGCCACAACGTCAATGTACCCCATCTTTGGCAGGTCCTACACTAACAGCCTAATGTCTGCTCTTATGAGATTAACCTACTTGGGGAAAAAATTCCATCTGGGGCTCTCTGCAGTACAAGGCTAAATAGGGCCCTGGGATGAGGCACCTGTGACAGGGAGGGGTGCAAAACCAAGGAGTTGGCTAGACTCCCAAATATATATAAAACAAGAGGGGGGTTGGCTGCACTCACCTTAACATGCATAAATGGGGGTGCTGCTGGGGGCCAAATAATACAATACACAAGATCCAGCGCACTCACCTGTCCACTAAACAGCAACTTCAATGTTGAAAGATTTTATTTGTTTTTTAAAAACACCTAATCTAGGCAAAAATAATGGGGGTTTAGTTACATTATATGATCATACATTGCATAAGCCTGCCACAACGTCAATGTACCCCATCTTTGGCAGGTCCTACACTAACAGCCTAATGTCTGCTCTTATGAGATTAACCTACTTGGGGAAAAAAATTCCATCTAGGGCTCTCTGCAGTACAAGGCTAAATAGGGCCCTGGGATGAGGCACCTGTGACAGGGAGGGGTGCAAAACCAAGGAGTTGGCTAGACTCCCAAATATATATAAAACAAGAGGGGGTTGGCTGCACTCACCTTAACATGCATAAATGGGGGTGCTGCTGGGGGCCAAATAATACAATACACAAGATCCAGCGCACTCACCTATCCACTAAACAGCAACTTCAATGTTGAAAGATTTTTATTTGTTTTTTTAAAAACACCTAATCTAGGCAAAAATAATGGGGGTTTAGTTACATTATATGATCATACATTGCATAAGCCTGCCACAACGTCAATGTACCCCATCTTTGGCAGGTCCTACACTAACAGCCTAATGTCTGCTCTTATGAGATTAACCTACTTGGGGAAAAAATTCCATCTGGGGCTCTCTGCAGTACAAGGCTAAATAGGGCCCTGGGATGAGGCACCTGTGACAGGGAGGGGTGCAAAACCAAGGAGTTGGCTAGACTCCCAAATATATATAACAAGAGTTACTGGTTTTAACATGCATAAATGCTGGTGGGCCAACATAATACAAAACACATCAGCGCATTGGCCTATCCACCAAAACAGCAACTTCATTTGCATTATTTTGCCTAGATTAGGTGTTTCTAAAAACAAATAAAATCTTCAACATTTCAGTTGCTGCTTAGTGGATATTAGGTGAGTGCTTGATCTTGTGTATTGTGGCTATATTTAGCCCCCAGCAGCACCCCCATTTATGCATGTTAAGGTGAGTGCAGCCAACCCCCTTTGTTTTAAAAGAAAAAGTATGTGAACCCTTTGGAATGATATGGATTTCTGCACAAATTGGTCATAAAATGTGATCTAATCATCATCTAATTCACAACAATAGACAATCACAGTCTGCTTAAACTAATAACACACAAAGAATGAAATGTTGCTGTAATAAGTGGGGGGATGTGATTAACAGCCAAACTGTATGCCAATGAAGTGTTATTGTGTTCTAATACAGGGATTCAAGCCCCCATTCTACCCTTAGGCAACAATGGAGTCCTCTGTGAAGCACATGGCCTTTCACCAGGCAAAATCAGTTGGTTTGTTGATAAACTCCTCCTCCATTCCCTTCCAATGCAATACCCCTTCCCCCAGGAGGCACTCTGGTTCTGTTAGATCCTAAGGGATTGACTAAGGGAGGTGTGTCCAGCAGAAGGAGGGGCTAACCTGTTTAAAGCCCTGTGAATAGCACATTCTCTCTCTCTCTTTGAATTACCTCTCTTCACCTTCTCTCTCCTCTCTCCCCTCTCCCCACTATACACACCCTCTCTCTCTCTTACTCTCAGCTGCTGATCAATGGAGTGGTAACTGTATCACGTGTCTATGCCTGTTTTATTATGTTAATTTAGCCTACTTTCCATTCAGTCAATGATTAGTTTTAGTAGCAACATATACTAGCCTATTTCAAATGTATATGTATTGTTTATTTGTTTGATTAGCCTTTATTAATAAATATTATTGAATTGCCGAAAGCAAGGAGTGTGGACTCTGACTTTACACTCGGTTTTTAAGTTATTATTTTAAGTTATTATTTTTAGTTATTAATGTTATTATTAATTCCAAGTTTATTCCCACTTGCGAGTTAAACGTTTATTACATTTGGCAAGCCATGTTATTATTTTCTACCACCTTTTAAGCTCACTTGCAAGGGGGGAACAATCCAGTCTTCTCCAGATACATGTGAGCTATAAAAGGGGACAAAATAACCGAACCAATTTTTGTTTTATTTTTTGTGAGCGTTTTCGGCAATACGTCCAGGGCCAGGACGTGCGGGATCCTACAGAGGCAACCAGAGTGAGACGCAGTTTGTAAGCCGGCCATCACTTCTGGAGGATCGGAGATAGCCAGACCAAGGATTCAAAGTGGGGTGCACACCATTTGATTTGCCTGCAGTCTGAAGACACAAATCGTGTAAGTACTTTTGACTTTATTTTAAGAATGGAAATTGTAGCAGAGTATGCAGCGTCTAGCAGTTTTGATCCACTAATGTTTGAAAATGAAAATGAATTTAAGAAAATGCATAGTATGTGGTTACAATGCGAAAAAGAGAACGTGAGAGTAGATAATAAAAAAATGGTGTTTGAATAAGGATAAACAGAAAATCCAAAATTGCATGAAATTGTTGCTGTTATTAAGAAATCAATTAAATCGGATACTTCTGGGGCACACTACTGTGGCTTGTATACAAAGTAGTACTCAGAAATATAGTGATTGTCCAACTTGTGGCTTAAATGCAGAATATGTAAATACATTAGAGGATAATTATGAAGCGAGAGGAGAGCTAATTTCATCGCTTAGAACAGGTTTAGCTGCACAAACCCCAGTTGCTGTATGTGGCCATGGGGATATGTGTGCAGAGGAAGAAGAGGCATCTGGTATTGCAGAAAATGAGGACCAAGGGGTAAACAGGGAAAACCTTGTACTGGATGGGTTTGATATTAGTGGTATTCCGGTATTAACCCCCCATATTACTAAACCAATAGCATCACCTTTTAGGGACCCTTTGTCCATTACACCGACTGTTAAAAGCAGGGCATCTGCCACCCTGCAGACTGCTAAAATTCTGCAGCAGCAAGATAGGGATAAAGTAATGAAACAGCTTGTTAAGTTAAGATCCCTTTTCCCCCCATATGACTGCAAAATAGATGTAATTTCAAACATGTCCAACTTTGAATCTGCAGTCAAACAATATATGCTCTCTCCTAAAGAGGCATGTATTATGCTTAAAATGTGGGCACCAAGCAGCATTGCATGCAGATTAAATTCCCCCATAAATGGGCCCATTAATCGGGATCAAGACTGGTTCAAAGAGGACAAATGGGGGACAGAAGGAGACAGGCTTAGAGCAATCTCCAAATTGATTACCGGAGAAAGAGATTTAGACAGTCATTTACTCGCTGAAATGAAGGTACACTTACAGGATGATCCTTGGCTTTTTGCATCTAAATTTGAACAAGTGTACAGATTAACCCACCGTATACCACAAGACCAAACCCCTCCTGATTTACTGCAATACCTGATAAAAAATTCACTTATTTAGATCCCGGAGTGCAAATGATAGCAGAGGAAAAAGACACTCTGGAAGGAGTTCTAACTATTATAGGAAAAGCTAGACAAAATTTAATTAGGAAAGGTGTTACATTACACCACAAGGTGGCAATTATGGCTACTAATGAAGGGAGGCAAGCTCTCCCAGAGATTCCATTCAGAGGTACTTGTTATTATTGCAACAAAAGTGGTCATAGACAAAAAAATTGTAGAAAGGCAAAGATAGATCAAAGGATGACTGAGGGATGGCATGCTTATCCCTCTGGGCCTTTCAAAGAAAGAATAGGTCAAAATGTATATGAAAAGATTGACCGAAATAAACCCCCGATAAAACAGGTCAGGGACGCCATTCTCACCCCCTGCCTAAGACCAATCTATACGGTCCTGCGCAGGAGGCTCTGAGAATGATGACTGTACAGGGAACAGTGACTAGCAATTCTAAAATGAATGAAGAGGGTGAAGTTCCTCTGATTTCATTTTTGGAATAACTATAACTGGATGGCATGGTTCCTATTTGTAACACATTTATGGACCATGCAGGACGCCCTTACGTGAATGAAATTATGGCAAGGCAACAGACTAAGAATTGGACTAACACAGGAGCTTCAGTGAGACTTACTGACCTATCACTAAGTCCCCCTTCTGGGGCAAAACAATAACATATGAATTTATTAATGGAATTTTTTTTTTTACTTAATTGCATAATGCTGGAGTCAAGCTAAACACTTCAAAGGTTGCTCACACAAAAGGTAACATTTTTGGGAGTAGCTATCACAGCTGCCCAATTAAAGAGTGATAGCAATCTTACAAGTCCCCAGACCTTTTAACAAACAATCCTTGAAGAAATTTTTTGGGACTTGTACATTTTTCAAAGGAATTTGGCACACGCCCTATTTGTATCAATAGTGACATTGCTTATGCCACCAGATCAAACCATCTGTCCAAATGGAATCTTGGGAAACTGGTTGGATGGGGACTAAAGCACCCCCTCCAGTCAGCAGTAAACACTCATTCAAATGTACAATTGAATTTGTTAGCAAAGGAGGCTGTCTTAGATGGAGATCAATGGCATTTACATGTAAAAGACCCTGAGATACAACAAGCATGGGAGGAGCACTTCACATGCAAAGAACTAATTACTGATAGCCAAGATTGTTGATCAAGGTTCAGAAGTGCCAGATTTAAAAGCAGAACTGAATAGGAATTCTAATCTTTCTCTTTTATTACAGAACCATCAAACACTTCAAAGTGGTTATTCTATAAAAGAAGGGTTGTTATGTTAAAGTATATCCATGCCCTAAGCAACAAAGGCCTATGCATCAGAGTGCCAGTTGCAGACAGCCCCTGGAATTATATAGAATGATTTCATAGGTGCACTTACACTGTCCAAGGGGGGTCTCATATATGGCCCCAACAAATTGTAAAATTGTGTCTACTCCTCAAACTCTGTTTGAGAAAGGGGGGGTAGGCGTAATAAAGATTAAACATTTTATCAAAATTATCCCTGGGATGCAAATTGGGAAGAGCCCTATGTAATCCTATAAGTCAGTCCATGTAGACCAACGTAAATTATATAAAGGGGCTTGTTCCCCAGATTCAGAGTTATCTGCTAAGAACTGATGCTTCTTCTTGATCTCTTACAGATTCTTCCAAAAACTACTGAGAAAAGATGTCACTCAACATTATGATACTCACCTGGGTCTTGATGGAACAGCTTGTCACAAGCCAAACCAACACCAGTTCCATATATACAACTACAGATCCATCCACCAAAGACTTTACAGACAGCTTAACAAAAAATGGTTCCCAATCAAATACTACTCCTTTAAGCAGGCACCGCAGAGGGAATTATGCACATGATATATCTGGATGGACTAGGATTTGGAGCAGTGACAATCTACAAGTTCCATGCGTGGATGTGATATTTGATTTTGGGTGGGTGGTTGAGATAGTTGGGATAAAACAACATGATTCCATCAAGGGATTCTGGAAAGACAGTAAGGGAAATGAGGAACATTGGGAATGCAAATGGACTGGTTGGGGAAAATGGGTGGTATATTTGGAGGGTGAAAATATTAATCTGGAATTGAACGTTACTAACCCTATTTATAATGTTATCAGCACTCTTAGAGAATATCACATAACACAAATTATAGTGGATAAATTTATTGAAAAGGGGATAAATTGGGGAACAGTAGGACACAATAAGGGTGGGGAAGTGAAGGTCTTGTTGAATATAGAGGAAGGGATAGAGCCTACAACCCTGGCTCCTCCTTTGACCTATATTCATACAACTCCTTCACTAATGGATAATGGGAGTAGACCTGAGTGTCAGGAGAATACAGTAATCTCTAGTGGCCCTTTCCAAATCAGCTCACTAAGACCTACCCCTATAGTCAGGAATGCTACTTTCCAACTGATCACTTGGCAAATAAAATTAACAGATTGGTTAGTTTCATCACATTTCCAGAACTGTTCTAGGGTCACATCTACTATTGAAAAGGCGTTAGTCAGATGGGCGACAAGAAACAGGACTAGGAATAGGAGGGATATCCTGGGTACGGTTCTGGGAGGTGTGGGTACAGGGTTAGGATTTGTTAATTCAATCGACATCTCTAGTATGACAACAACACTTCAGTCAGAGGGTATGTTAAACTCCAAAGGGATACAAACACAGAGAACGATCAATACATTAGTGGAAGGTTTGACACAGAAAGTAGTAAAGACACATAGTTCAGCAATCCTACACACAGAAGAAATATTAATCAGTGTAATTAAGAAATTAAGACAGGATTCATGGAGTGTTGTGTGTTTGTCTATGCAAACTGAACTATCTACAGATTTTAAGATCATGGCTCAAGCCTTAAATAATAACCATACACCACTGGGGAATGGAGAACTACCAGAAATAAGTATGTTTGCCTATGAACATAGAGATCTGTGGGTTAATAGTTGGTTGGGATGTCAGGGTAATATCTGTAGGGCAACTTCACTGATGCCATCTAGTGGTGTATATCAGAATAGTTATCAACTGTTATCAATAGGAATACCTGTCACAGAATCACACGTGTTACATCATGAGTTGCAATATCCTAATGTAGTTATGAATGGTCAAGAATTACAGCAAGTTGATTTCCTAGGTTGCTTAAGATTTCCTAACAAAATTTTATGCTTGCCTAACCAAGCCAGAACCATAGTGGATTCATGTTGGCATAACCATTCATATTGCAAAGGGATTGTGGAGCAAGTAAATCCTGCTGACATGGTATTCCCGTTGGGGCAGGGAAAGGTGTGCTTTGTCTCATTAGAGCCAAACAATGAGGTACAAGTCTGGTATAAACACTGCTCTGTAAAGGAACTAATTACACAGGGAATTTATTGTGTTACAGGGTATCCTACAAGAATTAGTACACGCTACTTTAACCTGACAGTACCTCTATTACTAACAATAAATATGACCCTGGGCCCCCCATTAATAGAGCCTATTATAACTGAGGACACCCCTTGGCAAGAATGGGTTGATCAATTGAAGTCAGACCAAGTATTAATCGACCATCTACAAAATTTTGGTGAAAGTATTCATGTTCAGTTCTTCCACCAGCAACAAGAACTTCAACGGATTGAACATGTATTCAATGACATGGCTAGTACAACCTGGTGGCAGAAATTCAAAGACTCATTTTCTAAGCAATCATCATGGGGTACTGCTGTGGGAAATTTTTTAATCCATCCATTTATTATTGTATTATGTGTTTCAGTAGTATGCATTGTTATTCAGGTTGGTATGTGTTGTTACTTAAAGTCATTGATTGCCCGAGTATATCATCTTCAATATGGTACGCAAATGGAAAGAGCTCTATTAAGGTAGTGGGCTTGGCGTTCACATAAGTAGATACACTGCAGGATGTATTCTCTCTCTCTCTCCCTCTCTGGTGGGTTTTATAGAGTCTAAGTGTCTCATCCACTTCATTGCCAATAGGAGGGATGTAATAAGTGGGGGGATGTGATTAACAGCCAAACTGTATGCCAATGAAGTGTTATTGTGTTCTAATACAGGGATTCAAGCCCCCATTCTACCCTTAGGCAACAATGGAGTCCTCTGTGAAGCACATGGCCTTTCACCAGGCAAAATCAGTTGGTTTGTTGATAAACTCCTCCTCCATTCCCTTCCAATGCAATACCCCTTCCCCCAGGAGGCACTCTGGTTCTGTTAGATCCTAAGGGATTGACTAAGGGAGGTGTGTCCAGCAGAAGGAGGGGCTAACCTGTTTAAAGCCCTGTGAATAGCACATTCTCTCTCTCTTTGAATTACCTCTCTTCACCTTCTCTCTCCCCTCTCCCCACTATACACCCTCTCTCTCTTACTCTCAGCTGCTGATCAATGGAGTGGTAACTGTATCACGTGTCTATGTCTGTTTTACTATGTTAATTTAGCCTACTTTCCATTCAGTCAATGATTAGTTTTAGTAGCAACATATACTAGCCTATTTCAAATGTATATGTATTGTTTATTTGTTTGATTAGCCTTTATTAATAAATATTATTGAATTGCCGAAAGCAAGGAGTGTGGACTCTGACTTTACACTCGGTTTTTAAGTTATTATTTTAAGTTATTATTTTTAGTTATTAATGTTATTATTAATTCCAAGTTTATTCCAACTTGCGAGTTAAACGTTTATTACAGTTGCCATGTTTTTATTGAAAACACCATGTAAACATTTACAGTGCAGGTGGAAAAAGTATGTAAACCCTTGGATTTAATAACTGGTTGAACCTCCTTTGGCAGCAATAACTTCAACCAAACGTTTCCTGTAGTTGCAGATCAGACGTGCACAATGGTCAGGAGTAATTCTTGACCATTCCTCTTTACAGAACGATTTCAGTTCAGCAATATTCTTGGAATGTCTGGTGTGAATCGCTTTCTTGAGGTCATGCCACAGCATCTCAATCGGGTTGAGGTCAGGACTCTGACTGGGCCACTTCAGAAGGCGTATTTTCTTTTGTTTAAGCCATTCTGTTGTTGATTTACTTCTGTGCTTTGGGTCATTGTCCTGTTGCAACACCCATCTTCTGTTGAGCTTCAGCTGGTAGACAGATGGCCTTAAGTTCTCCTGCAAAATGTCTTGATAAACTTGGGAATTCATTTTTCCTTCGATGATAGCAATCCGTCCAGGCCCTGACGCAGCAAAGCAGCCCCAAACCATGATGCCCCCACCACCATACTTCACAGTTGGGATGAGGTTTTGATGTTGGTGTGCTGTGCCTTTTTTTCACCACACATAGTGTTGTGTGTTTCTTCCAAACAACTCAACTTTGGTTTCATCTGTCCATAGAATATTTTGCCAGTACTGCTGTGGAACATCCAGGTGCTCTTGTGCAAACTGTATACGTGCAGCAATGTTTTGTTTGGACAGCAGTGGCTTCCTCTGTGGTATCCTCCCATGAAATCCATTCTTGTTTAGTGTTTTACGTATTGTAGATTCGCTAACAGGGATGTTGGCATTTGCCAGTGACTTTTGTAAGTCTTTAGCTGACACTCTAGGATTCTTCTTCACCTCATTGAGCAGTCTGCGTTGTGCTCTGTCAGTCATCTTTACAGGACGGCCACTACTAGGGAGAGTAGCAGCAGTGCTGAACTTTCTCCATTTGTAGACAATTTGTCTTACAGTGGACTGATGAACAGCAAGGCTTTTGGAGATACTTTTATAACCCTTTCCAGCTTTATGCAAGTCAACAATTCTTAATCGTAGGTCTTCTGAGAACTCTTTTGTGCGAGGCATCATTCACATCAGGCAATGCTTCTTGTGAAAAGCAAACCCAGAACTGGTGTGTTTGTTTTTTTTGTTTTTTTTTTTGTTTTATAGGGCAAAGCAGCTGTAACCAACACCTCCAATCTCATCTCATTGATTGCACTCCAGTTGGCTGACATCTCACTCCAATTAGCTCTTGGAGATGTCATTAGTCTAGGGGTTCACATACCTTTTCCACCTGCACTGTGAATGTTTATATGGTGTGTTCAATAAAAACATGGCAACATTTCATTCTTTGTGTGTTATTAGTTTAAGCAGACCGTGATTGTCTATTGTTGTGACTTAGATGATGATCAGATCATATTTTATGACCAATTTGTGCAGAAATCCATATCATTCCAAAGGGTTCACATACTTTTTCTTGCAACTGTATGTGTCATTTTGTTATGTATTAAATAACTGTTCTGTGCATTATCCTTGCTCTATTGGGGGCATTCATCCGTTTTAGTCAGAAGTAGTATTCTGTCTGAAAGTC